CCGGCTCAGCCCCGTCACGTGACCGGCCGCGGCCACGCCCCCTTGTTTTTGTTTCTCCGGAGCCGCAGATGTTCCCGGCGGAATGATCTTGGGCAGAGCCGATCGGTCAGATGTCGAGAGGGGCGGGGCAGTTAAAGAGTCCCTCCCGGGGAGTCTTAGTCAAAGGCTGTGAGGGGGCTGCCCCCGTGCTCAATTAGGCTCCTCGCTGCTCCTTGGAAGAGCCCGGGTGCGCCCCACCTCCACCCTGGCGGGGACCTTTCTCTGGGTATTTACGGAGGCGGGGGGGCGCGGAAGGAGATGGAAACAAAGTCGAATCACACCTTTAAAGGGGCCCGAGATTTTTTTCCATTTTGAAAAGGCCGCCCAAACTGTCCTGCGCGCGGATTGGTCCGCACGTCCTGTTCGCTGATTGGCTAGAGCCGTTCCCGTCCTTCTCGGGCTTGTCGCTGTTCCAAATCAAGCATTGGTCGGCGGTGACGACAGCTGCCTGCGATTGGCCAGCCGCGGACACACACGGACACACCCCCAGCTCCAAGCCTTAGCAACTGCGGCGCGCGCGCGGGCGCGGGCGCGAGACGGGGGTGGGGCGAGGGTAGGGGAGAGTAGCCACTGGCGTGCCACCCCTGTCACTGCAGTGCCCGATCCTGCTGCCTGCGAGGGCCTTGGCTGCTGTGCCCTGGCTGCTGGTGCAGCAGCGGGACAGGGGGCCATGCTGGGCAGCTCCAGCCTAGGAGCCTGCCCCTGAGACCAGGCTGCACCACACAGCAGAGCCCTGCCACTGTCACAGCTGCAAGTGCAGCCTGGGCCCAGCCACCTCCCGTCTGCCCACCACTGCCCATGCTATGCCACCCTTGCCTTCATGGCACAGACAGCTGTGCTGCCATTACCGCCAGTGTAGGCACTGCCAGGTCAACAGGAAGGTGCCTCCATCACATAGCTAACCTTGTTTGGGGAGATGATACTCTACCAGCAGGAAAAACTCTTTTATTTTGGAATAAATTGTCTACTGGGGGGAATCTGCCGGTACAGCTATATTGGTAAAGCATTTCTAGAGTAGACAAGGCCTAAATGTGGCAGAATTCAGTCACCCACTCCTATGAGCATACCTATTGCGGTAAAGTTAGAGGCAGCACCCACATTTCACCCAGAGGCAGCACCCACATTTCACCCACATAACACTGAAGGCCAAAACTCTGAACCCACAATCCGTGGGAAAACAAACCTGCTCCCCCTCCCAAACATCTCTCCCCATAGGTGTTGGAACTAGCGGATGCTGGGGGTACAGCAGCATTCCCTGGCTTGAAGTAGTTTCCACCATATATCAGGTTCATAGTTTTCAGCACCCCCACTGTACCAATTGTTCTAGCACCCCATTTCTGCTCCAATGCAGTTGCAAGACACTTATGCCTTGTCCACCCCAATTGTGTTGTTAATTTTATGTGGTTCAGTAACACCAATGATTTCTGCTCAGAAATCATGAGATTGGCTTAAAAATAACATTTCTGTTTGGTCTTACAGTTTTGGAGTCATTAGGGTTTGTGTTTTCAAGCTTTTCTGCGCAAGGGCTGGAAAGTTTGTTTTTTTTTAATGAAAGGTGAGATTGTTGTAGTCTCATTAATACCGGAGTTGGGGCTTTAAGACAAAGGTAATATTATGAGACAGCATCACCAGTTATGCACCCTTCCATGTCATGATATTTACAGGCACTGCTGAACACCTCAGTTTCCAGCTTTCATGTATTACACTTCCAAATGGAGACAATCAGAAGATACTAGCAAATGGAAGGAAAATGGTGTTAAATCATAGCTAAAACTATGCTAGTATTTGTGAAGTTTGTCAGGCTCAGAAAACAAAGCCTTCCACTCCACAAGACAGTTGCGCTGCAAACTTACCCATATTACTCTGACTCTGGGTACTGCAAACTTACCCATATTACTCTGATTCCAGAGGTATCCTGGAAAAGCTATGCCGTGTCCAAGGAACATGCCTGCTTTTCCGAAATTTTTTTTGGAAAAGCAGACACGTTTTTTTCGGCATCCCTGTAAACCTTATTTTACAAGGAAGAAGGGATGTTCCGAAAGAGGGTTTTTCCCCAACAGTTGGCCCCGTGTAGATGGGCCAAAATTTGGAAAAGCCTCTTTTGGAAGAAAAGCGGAAAAAGATATGATTTTTTCCGATTTTTCTTTGTAGTGTAGACATAGCCTGCAAGGTGGGATATGCTGAATGACCACTAACTGTATTATAATTAGGGCCCATAGTTTAAGGATTAAACTCAATTTCCACCTGTAACATGATTTCACCTCTGGTGACCATCTTCTTCTAAGAGCAGTGTTTTCTGTTAGCTACATTGACTTAGGATGAACTATTAACAGTGCTAAACATTGCTTATGCTAGTGAATGTTTGCTGAATAAGGCTCTTGACTTCCAATTTCTGTTTGAATTATTAATGGCATCAACATTCTTTAATTGGTGAAGTGAATCTTGTAATGTCAACACACAATACAGATGTACTTTTTCCAGCCCCTGAATGAAAACGATAATGGATAATGGATATCAATTTCTTCCAGTAATAAACTTAAGTAATAGCAGAACTCTATTTCATTTTTAAAAGAACGATTAAACACAAACACTCACTTTTAAAAATAGGGGTTTGACCTTTCATCTGAACATAGAAATTCCTTTTGTTCACTCAATGATTTAAACCTAATTAAAAACTGCAAAAATACAATTAATATGTCTATCACTAATAATAATAAGAATTATTATTATTAATAATGGGAAGGAAGAAGAAGAAATGTTGACATTACATAATCCACTTATGCTTCTTCTATGCAGCATTGCATTGGAAGGGCTTCTTTTCATCAGTGGAGAGAAGAGGTTCACAAACTATCATCTTTGCTTCTCCTACAAACAAGGTTTCAAGAACATCTACTCCTCTGTATAAATGACACATTCTTCAGCTTTGAATTTGTAATGGGGAAAAACTCAAATTTTGGTTCATGGTTAGATCCCCAAGCCGACTGGAGCTGGCAGTGCACTTCTACAATAACAAAGTTCAGTAACTGTTAGTTTTTTCAAAGAGCAACTACTGCACTTTTAACCGAGTCACCTGTTTTGGATTAAAGGACACACCAAGAAAAGAATATAACATAGCACCACTATATCCTGAAGGAAACCATAGTTTATCTCCTCAAAAATATGCTGTGCCTCACAGAACAGCAGCTGCTTTTGGAGTTGGTTATTCCTGGGATATTTAAAAGTGCAGTAAAAATGAAATTGTAACCGTTTCTTAGCTACATACACACTGTGTGAGAGAACAGACTGAGCCCTGGGCTTTCAAGGACTGCTTGCACTATGTGAGATAACAAACCAATTCCAGGCTGAGGTAATTTTGGATGGAAGAAAACTTGTGGTGGGATTTTGAGGAGAAACAGAGACAATAACCTACCAGCTGCAAGGACACACTCAGGGTACATCTAGACTGCAAACTTCTTTCGAAAGAAGCTTTTTCAGAAGAGATCTTCCGAAAAACTTCTTTTGAAAGAGAGCGTCCACACAGCAAAAGCACATTGAAAAAGTGATGTGGACGCTATCTCGCATTTAAGCTGTGATTACTGTGGACGGAGTGGCCACCAAGGACACCTGTGCTTTTTCTTCTTTCCTCTTCTTTGGAAAAAATTTCCTCTTCTGCATCCCCATACACCTTTTTCTGAAAGCTCTTTCAGAAAAGGCTTTCTTCCTTGTAGAATGAGGTTTACCAATGTTGGGAAAACCCCTGTGTTCTTTCGATTTTCTTTCAAAAGAACACAATAGCAATGTGGACATAAGTGAAGTTTTTTCAGAAAAGTTTCGGAAGTTTTTCCGAAAACCCCCTACAGTCTAGATGCACCCACAGAGGAATCATGACACGCCCTCATCCTGCCATAAAGGTCCAGTTTTAGAAATTGCTCTGGCATGTGTTTATGTTTAAGCTTGTGAGTAGACTAGTCCAGTTGAGGTCAATATGTCAAAGAAGAATGGAGCTTCATTAGTCTCTATCTATAACGGGGAAGGCCTTAGTTTGTGCAGAAACTTTAA